CTCACCTTTCCTGGCCCCATCCCCGCCTCTTCGACCTGTTTGTTTCCTCTCCACCTATCCTCTCCTCTATCCCTCTTCTATCCGCCTCCCACTCTCTCCCTATTTATTTCAAAACCCCCTTCCCCTCCCCCTTTTCTGATGAAGGGTCTAGGCCCGAAACGTCAGCCTCTCTGCTCCTATGATGCTGCTTGGCCTGCTGTGTTCATCCAGCCCTGCACCTTGTTGTCTCCAGTCTCCACACTGGCTGAGCCATACCCCATCCAGACCCAATCCAGTCTCCAGATACAGGTTTGTCACTTCCAGAGCTCGAAGGAATAGAACTGCAAGATTGCAAATATCGGAATGGTGGCTCACTATTTTCCTCCTACTTCCTTGATTGAACAAAGACCAAAATCCGTTTGGAATAAGCATTTCTACCTGCCTGACATTATAATAGCTCCTTTTCTGACAACCGGATATCCAAAAATGTTTACAGCCAATGAAATACTTCTGAAGTGCAATGATTGTGGCAATGGATGGAAAGCAGCAGCCAATTTGTGCACAGCAAGCTCCCACAAACAGTGATCTGATATTGATTTAGTGTAAATATTTTATTTAGGTTCAGAAAACAGTCTGCTGTTTTTTGATAGAGAACTGTGGAATCATTCATATCAACTTCAGACGGTGCTTAGGACCTTTATTGAGTTTCCTCAGCTGAAAGACACACCTCCAACAATGCAGCATTCCCTCAGAACTGCACTGGAGTGATGGCCTAGAATGTTGTGCTCTGGTCCTGGAGTGAGACTTGAAGTCACAACCGTCTGATGCAGAGGCAACAGTGCTACCAATTGAGACACGACTATAACAGCATAAGAGGATATTCTGTCCCCAATTGTCCATGTTTTAACTTAACAAACATGATGGCCCTTGCTGGACCCCAAATAACTTTCCAAATCTAGTTGTACGTTTTAATGACACAAAAATTGGCTGGGTAGTTTGATTGGTGGAAAAGTGGCAAATGGAATTACATCTCAAAGTGTGAGGTTATGCATTTGGGGAGGGAAAACACAGCACGTGCATGTCCACAAGTTCGTGAAGGTGACAGGGCAAGTAGATAAGATGATAGAGAAGGCATATGGGATGTTTCATTCATTAAGCAAGGTCCTGAATACAAAAGCAGGAATGTAATGCTAAGGTGCAAGATACTGGTCAGGCTACAGCAGAAATTATCCGTACTGTGCTGGACACCACACTACAGAAAGGATTCAATCACTCTGGTGAGGGTACAGAGAAGATTCATGAGAATGTTGCCAGGGCTTAAAAATTGCAGTCATGTGGAAAGACTGGATAAGTTAGGGTTGTTTCCTTAGGAGGGAGAAAGTTGAGGGTTTACTAAATCAAGGCATCCAAAATAATGAAGGGCTTGGATACCACGGACAGGAAAGGCCTGGTTGCCCAAGTGGAGAAGACAACTGCCAGGGTAACAGATTTAAGGTGATTGGTAGAAGGATTAGAAAGGGTAGGAAGAAAACTGTTTTCACCAAGAAGATGGTGGGTATTTGGAATTAACTGCTCAGTTTTGTTGGTTGAGTTGGAAATATCAATTCATTTGAAAGAAACCTGGATCTACACCTGAAGCACTGCAACCTACAGGCTATGGACCAGGTGCTGGAAACTGGGATTAGAATTGGTGGCGATCTTCTTCAGCTGGCATAAACACAATAGGCTGAATGGCCTCTTTCTGTGATGTAACATTTCTAAGATTCTATGGTTCTAGTTACAGTATCCATTACACCACCCTGTTTGAGATCAACTAACTCAGAGTAAAGGTGAAGCTTTCCTGTGCAATAAGGTTTTATAAAGCATCCATTCTAATGGTGTTGACCCAGTCTCTCACATACCTGCTCAGAGTGCATTCTTCTTGTTGCGCTTTGCACGTCTTGGACAAGTTCTGAAGGCAGAGGTTTCCCGGATCTGCTGACCACGGTATTGACTTGGAGAAGCACAGACGCCATCTGGACGAATCCTGCTGGTATCCATCCATCTAGGTATGGAGAACGGGGACAGCAATCTATTATCCATGACTTATTCTCTTATGAAAGGATAGTGGACTAAGCAAGGATGGCCTAGTAGGTCAGCCTGGGATATGCACGTTAGAGGAAAGCTATTTTCTCTTGAGCACAGGGAGCACCCTTCCTCAAAAATCATCCTAGACAGCGAAAAGGAGCTAATTTGTTGACTTGCAAAGTTAGATTTCTTCACTGCAGGAGCTTGGCCACAATGTCACCTGAAACAGCCAGAAACACTCCCATTTCCATTGTCTCCAGAGAATCAAAAAAAAAGTCCTTCTGGCTCTTAATGCTTCAAACATAATCTTAAGGACAGGGTAGACAAATGACCTGGCTCTGTTATTAATACACGTGGATATTACAGCTTTGGAAATCAGTTGTTCATGTGCACACATGTATTAAATATGTGTGCGGAGTGAGTGTTGTTGTGATTATATTTTGGGTGTTGTGAAAAGAAAACATTTATGCTTTCTTTTGATTTTAAACTTCAAGGAAGCCTGTTCTGTGTCTGGTCCATAAAGTCACAGCACTCAAGGAGTTAACATCCTCATCTTAAAAATAGTCTTGTTAAGGTCAGCTGAGAGATGAGAACAGATGCAACACATCTATCTCTGTCAATGCCAAATTACTGAACAAACCTTGTGTAATTTCCCCACCATTTTGAATAAGCTTCTCTCAGTGTTTGGTCCCTGTTAGATTATATTTTTCGAATGCATTGATTAGGCCTAACTTCCCTTCATCCCTTTGAAATTAGGTTATGTGCCATTTTCTTCTTCAGACATCTTTTGCTTTAGTTTCAATGTGAACATAGTTAGGTTCTGGGACAAATTTTCCAGCTTTTACATAACTCACGCTGCTTTATTATCCTGAACTGTATTGAATGATGCATCTCTCCTATTATGTATGTAACATAACGTGAGTGTATTTCAAGAATCACTCCACATTTTACACTCAAATAATTCTCACAATTTCACCTCAGTGTAATCATCATATTCAGTAGTTAAAGCAGTGTTGCATGAATACTGTTGTTTTGAGTAGAACTCTGAGGTGATAGATTGGCAAAGCAAACACGAATAAGGAAAATCCCAAGGCGTTTTATACATCTATAAGGAGCAAGAGGGTAGCTAGGGAAAGGGTAGGTCCACTCAAGGACAAAGGAGGAAATTCATGCATGGAGCCAGAGGAAGTGGATGAGGCCTGTACGAATACTTGAAGAATGAATTAGCTTTATTGTCACATGTACTCAGATGAGTACAGTGAAAACTTCACAAGTTGCTACTTAGAGCGCCTTCTTACATACAAGGTACCTTGGTACAGATTCTTCGGTACAATATACTTTACATTGGTATTCGCAAAGGAGAAGGACATGGTGGATGCTGAATCTCAGGAGGATTATTTTTACATTCTAGGGCATGTCATTATAAAAACGGAGGTAGTTTGGTGTGTTTTGAAAAGCATTAAGGTAGACATGTCCCCAGGGTCTAATGGGATCTATCCCAGAATGCTGAGGGAGGCTAGGGCCTTGTATGAAATCTTTATATCCTCTTTAGTCACAGGAGAGGTCCCAGAGGACTGGAGAATAGCCAATGTTGTTCCTTTGTTTAAGAAGGGTAACAGGGATAATCCAGGAAATTACAGGCCAGTAAACCTGTGTCAGTGGTATTGAAATTATTGGAGAAGAATCTTAGGGATAGGATTTACTCACATTTGGAAAAATATGGACTTATTAGTGACAGGCAGCATGGCTTTCTGCAGGGAAGGTCATATCTCACAAACTTGCTTGAGTTTTTTGAGGAAGCGACAAAGATGATTGATGAGGATAGGGTGGCAGATGTTGTCTATATGGGTTTTAGCAAGGCCTTTGACAAAATCCTTCCTGGCAGGCTGATGCAAAAGTTGAAATCATATGGGATCCATAGTGAGCTGGTAAGATGGATACAAAACTGGCTTACTCATAGAAGACAGAGAGTATAGTGGAGGGTAGTTTTCTGACTGGAGAACTGTGACCAGTGGTGTTCCACAGGGATCAGTGCTGGGACCTCTATTGTTTAAGGAGAATGTAGGTGGTTTGATTGGAAGTTTGCATATGGCACAAAGATAGTGTAGAGCTGTGGACAGTGATGAGGGTTGCCAGAGAATACAGTAGGGATATGGACAGGCTGGAGACTTCGGTGAAGAAATGGCAGGTGGAGTTTAATCCAGACAAATGCAAGCTGATATATTTTGGGAGATTTAATGCAGGAGAGCATTTACAGTAAATGGCAAAAGCCTCAGTGGCATCAACATACAGAAGGATCTAGGCACTCAGGTCCACAGTTCTCTGAAAGTGGCAACACAAATGGATAATGTTGTCAAGAAGGCATTTGGCATGCTTGCCTTCATCAGTCAGGGGATAGGGTATAAAAATTGCCAAGTCATATTGCAGCTATATAGAAGTGTAGTAGGCCATATTTGGAATATTGCACACAGTGCCAGAAGAATGTGGAAGCTTTAGAGAAGTTTACGGAAACAGTTTACCAGGATATTGCCTGTTTGGATGGTATCAGCTTTGAGAAGAGACTGGACAAATTTCGTTTGTTTTCACTTGAATGTCGACAACATTATGAGAGGCATGGATAGAATGGATAGTCAGAGTTTTTTTTCCAGGGTAGAACTGTCAATTACTAGGGGAAATAGGTTTAAAGAAAAAGTGGGTAAAGGAGATGTGAGAGCCTAGTTTTTTTACACAAAAGTTGGTAAGTGCCTGGAATGCACTGCCAGAGGAGGTGGCTGAGGCAGATACAATAGCAACGGTTAAGAGGTATTGTGACAGACACATGAATAGGCAAGGAATGGAGGGATACAGACCGTGTAGAAGCAAAAGGTTTTTAGTTTAAAAAGGCATTGTGAGTTGGCGCATCCTTGGTGGGCTGATGTGCCTGTTCCTGTGCTCTACTGTTCTTTTTCTCTTTGTTCTTAATGTAAAACCAAAACTGAAATGGTAGCATTCTGTAAGAAAGTAACTGACTGGAAGAGTGGCGAATGCCAGAAAACTGTGCAAGTTGGCAGAAGCATTATAAATGGTGAAGTCTTGTAGCATTTATTGTCTCAGGTGTGGTCAAGCTAATTTGATTAAAATTTATGGCACTGACTACGGAGAAACTTGGGGACTATGTGAGTTGTTTCTACAAATTAAGGCTTAAACGACTGAGGGCTTAACTGCGGATTTGAAGACATGAAAAATCTAAGAAAATGAAGTGTCCAAAGACTTGGATGTAAGATGGTAGTAATGGGGAAGGCAAGTGATTATATTTAATGCAGACCGGTTAATAAAGCTTCTCAGATAAAATTGGCATCTGAGAGGAACAACAATTACCATCTGGTCACCTTTGGTCCTGTATGGTCACAAATGTGTAAAAATATAGAAATCTGGACACTGACTCAAAGGTTAATTTTAAAAGGGATTTAGGGCTGGACTCAGTAAATGCTGTACCTTCGTACTGCAGCCAGTGAGCAGGAACAATGCCAGGGATTGTTGGAGAGAGTCATGTTCTTCATTTTGGTCAAGACAAGATTTGAAGGTAGAGATTCCAATTTGTTGTCATTCAGATGAAGGGCTGAAAGGCCGGTGACGCCATTGAATGCTCCATCTGAAAACTAAGCACAACAGTTTAGTTCGACTTCATTAAATTCACTTAATTATATCTTCACAGATGTGCGTATTGCGTAGAATAGTTTAAAAAAATGCAACTAACCAACAGAACTGTTTAAAATCTAAAACTGCTGGTATCTCCAGAGAAATGGCAATCAACCTACTCCAGTCACATATGTAAGCTTTCTATTTAAACATCAGTATAATGCTGACAGACTGTTGGAATGATTAATGCTGACGTGGTGAAGTATTGTCAGACAGCACTGTAATGTTTGATAGTTATGGGAATGGCATCTGTGATGTATTAGTTAAGATTAAATTTAAATTATTAAAGGTCATAGAAGACCTAAGCTGCAGCGGTGGCACTGGCTAAGGAAGATCTACCCACCACATATTCAGAATTCATACTCAGGGGCAGCGGTGGGGGCGAATAGGAAAGCGTTATGGTAGGAGAACTAATAGTTAGTTGAAGGCCCAACTAGTGTTGCACCTGAGGACTAGTCTCAGTTTGCCACAAATACAGAGTGGCAGGACATAAGCACGTGCCTGATTACCCACAAACTGTGAGCTCCCAATTATAGTAATGTCATTTCACAGTGTACCAATACCAAGCAAAGTCCAGCTATCTCAAGAAGAACAGAGAGGAAATAAAGGACCAATAATCCCATTCAGATGTTCAATTTGAATAAGACCATTTAATTTCCTTTGAGGATTCTGGGAATGCGCCACCTTTCTAGCCACCTTTGAGAGTGGGAATCCCATCTAGGTCCAAAGGCCATGAGTGGAGGCACAGAGACAGATGGAGCAGTAAGTCAACTGAGGACATATGAGCAGGACACAAGACTACAAATATTCTGATGCCTGATTCTGAAAACCACTGAACACCAGGATGCTCTTGCTCTTCAACCTAATCAAATATCACATTAACAGGAGCTCTTGAATGGATTGTAGAATTGGAATTTACTTACTGCCAGTAAGTGTAGGAATTCCTAATATGAAGTAAATCTTCACTAAGTAGACTCTGCCATGTCATTCCTGCTATCCCATTGGACACCAAAAGGATGGAGCACAGTGATGTTCGCTACCAGTTCTGACAACTATCATCAGTACAGAAACACAAGCAAAACTAAATGAAATTTCTCAAATGTTCACGGTGTGTAATATTTATTATTAAAAACAAACCTCAATGTTTAATCGGTGATTAGAAGTTTTGATCTACATTTCTCATGAAGCAGCTTAACCTTTTGTTTTTGCCAAATTGCTAGGGGAAATACTTAGTTTGGAGATTTGAAGGGATTGTGGAAGTGCAGAGATCTCTGCTTCCATGAATTAGACTGGAGCAGGAAGGAGGCAGGATAACCAATGGTACCAGTTAGTGTATTTTAGATTATATTTATTTCCCATTCCTCATTTCTCTCAGTTGCCTGTAGATCAGGCCAGGTGGGTGGATGGTGACATTATTTCTCATAAATGACATTGTTGAACTGTTGGGTTTCTATAACAATTTGGCAATTTTTATTATTTCCTACTCCAGATGATTGGACTCATTCAAGTCCTTTTTGCAACTTGCTAGAATGTCTTTTGATCACTGAGTTGCAAGTACAAGGCCATAACCTTGAGATTACCCATTAAAGAAGTCATTAAAGGAGGAAAATTGGGCGTGCATTAATTTTGACCTTTATTTATTGATCTTGGTGAGGTTTTAATTGAAGCTCACAGCTAATACTAATCCATGTAAACCTGCAGACAGCCAGCTTTATCTCCAGTCAGTGCTGTCTGAGTCCATTTGAATCAGGTCTGCTATTTACAATCAATTTGTCTGCATGTCTGAAGAAGAAATCGGGTCAGGCATCAACTCCATCACTTTGGCAAGAGTGGATGTTGAGTGAAAATGATGTTCTGTGGAACCCTGTGTAAATAAAATGTCTGCCAGTATCCCCAGTCTAATCTTGGACTAAACTTGGCCATGTTGGCGAGGGTATCTGAGAATACCCACAACAATTCAATTATCCCCCAGAATCTTCAGTTAAGATAAAATGAAACTATATCAGTGGTTGATTGTGCTGATAGGTGGAATAAAATTCAGCAACTAAAGAGTTAATCCTAAGACCTCAGTAACTCCTCTGTCTTCAATTTTCAGTTTGGCAAAACCTGAACCTGAAAACCTGAAAACAATTTTCTCGACTGTTTTCAGTCTTGGCTGTAACTACTGCTTGTGATCACTGGCTATATTATAGCAATAAAGCTATAAAACTTGCCCTTTAGTGTGAAGCCACAGACATTGCAGCAGTTGTCGGTTGTTTGGAGAAGATTTCTTCACAGCTAGATGAGTGGAATTTTCCACTGAAATTCTATCTTGGATGCCTGCTGTTGTTCAAAGTCGAAGGGCATGAGGATGCATCTTTATTCAAAAGTTAATTAAGCTCCTTCAATAAATGGTATATCTTTTGAATGTTTTTAACAGTGGCCTGTGTCTGGAACTGGCAGAGAGGGGGAAATACAAGGTCAAACCCTAATTGTACTGAGTTGCCCATCTGCTGCTGTGTCACATACAGTCCCCTGGCCCCAGTGATTGGTTCAAATGTTATGAGCTGGTTTCCTACTTAGTACCATGGAAGGGTGTGCCTCACAAAGGCACAGGAGGGCAGGAAAATGGGTGCAACAAAAGGAAGAAAATAAGGATTAAAATTTCAATGTTAGGTGATTTCACCAGGTCAGCAGCAACACCTATAATTAACCTCCATAAGTTTGACTTAATACAACAGGAAAGTGTCCAAGTCTCTATTTTAATTGCTGTTCTGAGCTTGAGGAATGCTAAACTGACATAATCCTTTTTATTTATTCAAATTTTGTTGGGATTTGAACACACATTTACCCAAAACATCAAACTTGCTTATAGTGAAGTGACATGATCACTATACAATTGCCTCTCCAGGTTGAGAATGGAAGGGGATTTGAATAAATCATGGTTTATTTTCCATCTAGTTTCCTATGTGTCGCATTGAGGAGAAAATCTGAGCACAAATGAGTGGGAGAAATAAAAACAAATGGAGGAAGGAATACGTTTTGATAACTTCATTTCATTTCAGACAAATTATCAGCCCCTGACACCTGTAAAAAGGGTTGGTCTTCTTTCCCCTCTCTGTTCTGTATGTGTGAAGATGAAAGGGAATTGACTGCTTTAGTGAAGATCTGGAGGTGGACCTTCAAAGGTCACTGTGTTGTTCAGCTGCTACCTTATAAATTAGTTAGACAGCATTTGGTGACAGCTTGAACCTAATGTGATATATATTTCTGTAGGACTTTTACTGTTCAGAGCTTTAATGTGTTTAGTATTTTGAGTCATACTGCTGTATTTACACCAATGCACAACTGAAACCAAGTTTTTTTTCATAGAATCTCCACATTGTGGAAACAGACCCCTCAGCCCAACAAGTCCACACCAACCTCTGGAGCATCCCACCCAGACCCATCCCCCCACAACCCACCTGAGCACTACAGGCAATTTAGCATGGCCAATCTGCCTAAATTGCACAGGAGGAAACTGGAGCACCCGGAGGAAACCCACGCAAACATGGGGAGAATGTGCAAACTTCCCACAGACAGTTGCCCAAGGGTGGAATTGAACCCGGGTCCCTAGTGCTGTGAGGCAGCAGTGCTAACCACTGAGCCACTGTGCCACCACAAAGTTTCTTTGAGGCAAACGTGGCAGGATAAGTACATTTGTAGATTTCTGAGTACAACTACTTTCCCTGAGGTAGGTATGTGGCTCTTGAGTGTCAGGGCATATCCACATGCCACTGGAACTCCACATTCTATTTCTGGGGATCAAACTTCCTCTGTTTTCCACTCAAGTTTTAGCCTGGGCCATAAGGGATCCAGTTTCCGTATGTCACTACACAGAGGCACAGCTGAAGACTTGCTGATGGAGAGGTTGTCCACTGACAGGGAGAGACTTACACATTCGGCTGTCTTTTTCATATTGCTGCCATCCAGCAGTGTGAAATGAAAATGAGAAGAACACTGGTACACAAAAACAGAAAGCAAGCTATCTTTCTTCACTACACACTCAACACATCACATTGATCTGTTGGATATATATATAACTGTCATAAAAATTCAGTATATAATTTCAGTTGGACAGACATCCTGGTCAGTACAGGGATAGATCCTACAATATCAGTGTTATTAGCCTCACATTGTAACTTTCTGAGCTAACTGGAGAACTGCCTTACAGATGGAAGTTAAAGCTAATGGAGAAAACCCCAAGAATATGAAACAGCGTAGAAAGGCAGACTCATGTCTAATTATATCATCATTCCTGGCAACTCCTGCTATCAATTCAGAACAAACAAACATTATTTAAGACTCAACTGGGGAGGCTAAATTTATGACCAGTCCAGGGTCTCCATAAATTTTATACCCTGAAGAGGACATTGTAGTTTTGTTGCAATAACACAAAGTGGGAGGCAGTAGTTACAAATGATAAGCCCAACCTTACAGAACGGGTGCTATGGTTCCAGATCGTGAAAGGAACTATCATGTCATCAACTACCACCATCCCATTAGGTGAGAAGCCCCCGACCTATAATATGCTGACCTGTCATGGTTGATCAGCTTCAATGAGTATTTGGAGCTTTGAGGCTGTGCTCGATAAGTGGACGGAATTCATCACACCAGCAAACAAACAAACAATCAAAAAGAAAAAGGAGATGCCAACTCTTTGATTGACAAGCTGGAACGTCAGGACCATGTGCAGACAGGATTGACAGATGACTTGCAGTTGGTTGATAACGCACGCAAGGCATCTGTGATCGACATGGAACTTGATAGGCTGAACATGGAAATAGCATCCCTACAAGAGACGGGCTCTCCGAGAGTGAATCACTGAAAGAAAAACATTACACATTACATTAAAACATTACATCTGGCAGCAGAAGTGTTTAGAGGAAATGCATGAGCAAGATGTAGGCTTTGCTTTAAGGAACTCACTGCACTCAATGAT